CCCCCAACTCACCTCCTTACCTGATAAATCATGTGCCTCAAAGTCGCCTGCACCACAACAGTTATCAGCAATCACTAATCTAAGTTTCGATTTGTGTCTGTCTATCAACTTTCGTTATTCCAATGTCCTTCGTTCTTCGATCTCTCGTTCTCCCTCTCCAGATATTCTGACCCCAGCCTCATCGACATTTGACTTTGGGAGAGTGGATGATCTAAGCACTTGTTGAAGTTAATCTCTTATCGTCTACTAATCCACTGCCTTGAAGACTATTGACCTTGGTTTTAAGTCCCTAACAGGGTCTAGCAGAGGCACTTCCTTTTTTCTATATGTACTTTAATGTCTGCGGGTGTGCGATAGACTTACCTTCACGTGGTGCAACCTGGGCAACGTATACTCATAAGGCAAAAAAGTCTATCAACTGTCAGTTGACTTCTCACTTCAAACTACCATCACCCCACTCTATGTCATATTCCGCTACTTCCACACTAATTACCCCACCTTTTTTCTACCTTCCGACTTTTTCGTCACTTTGATGTTCCCCCTTCTCTCTGTGAAGCTCGAAGTCAGCTCAAGGGCTAAAGATAACTATCGAAACGCCTGCCATTTGAAATGATGACTTTAATAACTGTCAGAATAGTTTTAAATTTATCCTCAAATTTCGAAGTAAATCAAATGAAATAAATGAAATTCGGACACATTTCCGATTCAACCACTAACCCCTGCAGTCCTTCCTGATTTAATTAACCAATTACTCTTAAAATAAAGGTTTATTAATTTTTAACCTCCAGTCAGATAGTGTACGATGGAATAGTGTTCGTTTGATGCAGCCAAAGACAAGGCATTCATAGATCCTTCTCGATATAGTTCCGGATCTGCGCCTACAGAATTAAAACAGGTGTCAATATTGCATACCAACTAAGTGGCCATCATTGTGATATTGATTATATGGGAAACTCACCAGCATACATGAGTGTATGTACGAAGTCAAAAAGTCCATATTTGGCAGCAATCATTAGGGCTGTGTAACCCTCTCTATCGCGAACATTGGTATTCAGTCCGGAATCAAGTAAAATTTTCAAAATGGTTAAATTCGCGTAATAAATGGGCAAGTGCAAAAGTGGGATAGGATAACCCGAATCGGAGTTCGGATCAGTAATGTAGTCCATTAATGTTATCAACACCTCCATGTTCTCGCATTTAATGGCATATCGAATTCCCGTATGGATTTCAATTTGAGAAACTTTCTAGACAATTAAAAAACTGATAAGGGAAAAACAAAAAATTGCCTTTGCATTAATGAAGTTTACGGCTTTGATAGTGTCATTCATTCTAACATAATGCATGAATTCAGTCCTAAATTCGTATGGCGCATAATTGTTAAAATCCTACAAAAGATCAATACATTTTTTTACAATAAATAAACTTACCGCATCATCAGACATTTTAAATTAAAGGTGATCAAATTGGGTAAATTTTTTAGAGTGTGTTTATGTACCTAGGCATACACACGCACATATATATATAATTAATTTTAATTTAAATTTAAACTTTGAATAAGCAATTAGAACTAAAAATAATTCATTGGTAAATGATATAATGTAAACAGTGAAAATTTGAAAAGTCTGAAGTCCACTCAGTTTTATATGAACTGATGAGGTAGTAGTTAGTATTCTCTTTTGTGAAGATAGAAATCTCGAGTTCCTTGTTCACCTGCATACTCCTCTCACTAATTCTATTCCATGACTCAAGATGATATCTGAAAGTCGCTTTCTTACATAGCCTCTAGAAGTACTATTATTATTTATTTATTTATATCAAATGGCAGGCGTTCTGATAGTCATCATTAGCCGTTTAGTTAACTTCAGGCTTCACAGAGGGGGGAGCATCAAAGTGGGAAAAAGTCGAGAGGGGGGATGGGGGGGGGAACAGAAGAGTGCTTCAAAGACGAAGGTAGAAAAAAAGGTGAGGTGAGTACTCTGGCTATAGTCGAATATGACATACAATGGGGTGAGAGTAGTTTGAAATCAGAAGTCAACTGCCAGTTAATAGACTTTTTTGCCGTATGAATATACGTCGCCCAGGGTGCACCACGTAGAGGCAAGTCTATCGCACACCCCAGTACTATTATTATTTTTTTTTGGATTTAAGCGCTCGCATATTATACGTCTCATTGAGGTGAACTACGTTTACTTTTGATCGTGAGGTCTGTTTCTTACCTTATACTCAATGTAGGCGCCTAAAGTAGCAGTATATCTCCTTGGCAGAATTAAAAATATATGAACCCATCCGATTTAAGTCAAGGAACTTCTTTTAACCTGCTGTATCTATTGGGGCCACTAGAACTAGTGGTAAGCACAAACACGGAGTTGATAAAGGCATCAGGTGAAGAGACATTCGAGAGATGGCATATAACGAAGTTTCCATACCTACGGGAGTCCCTGATAAGAGCCCAGTGGGTCGCGAAACAAGACTTCCTACAATAGATTGGGTCGAACTGGGGAGATCGTACCAATTACGATTCGTCTTAATGAAGAAAGGGCCATCTTTTTATACAAAAATCAATAAAATTCTCACTATTCATTAATATACTGCAAGCAGCCATGACATTACTCGTTACGATAAGTGGCTTTTAAGAAAGGCAAACAAATTTTGCCATTTTCTTGTTAATGCTCGATAAATATCCAAGTCAGTTACAAATCAGGAAAAAACATTCTGTTTGGCAATCACTGCATTTTGGAAGATCATGACATTAACCACTTTAAATGATCGAGTTACATGGAAGATAACGTAGAATTTTTTGCGTGATTGGCTAAATATGGCATCTGAAAATCGAATTCAACAATGTTCTGTTTCCCGATTTATCTCTACCCATTTGACTCTGACAAAAATATTAATAACAGAGCAGTATATTGTTTCTACATAATGTCAGATGGCGTGAATTAATAAAATCGGAATATTTTAGGGAATAAAATTTCCTATTTGACAATAAGGACTCAAAACCTTGTCAGTTAGAGGTTTGATCTTTGATTAGATGTCATGCCATAAGATTTCACAAGAAATTTCAGTTCTAATATATCAAGACATGAGCAATTGAAATTCCGCTTTTCAAGAGACGTTTCATAATTCTTTATGTGTTTATTATCTGTCTGATAATTTAAGAAAACAAAAAAGTTTTCAAATAAAGAAAGCCTCCATTTTCCTCAAATCTTTACCAAATAAAGCAGTAAGTTTATCAAATCGGTTTCATTTAATGGGAGTTAAGCGAAGAATTCTATTTTATAATATGGTGCACTTATTTTAATTAAATAACTAAGCTTTTTGAAAAAACTGTCAGTTATCACAATAAATGGCGTTTTAAAACACACAATGATTTGATAAACTACAGGAAAGCTTTAATCAATTTAAATTTGCCATATATATATATATATATATGTATATAATGGGGTGTGAGATAGACTTACCTCCACGTGGTGCACCCTAGGCAAAGTATACCCATACGGCAAAAAGTCTATTAATTGCCAGTTGACTTCTCGCTTCAAACTACCATCTCCTCACTATTTGCATATTCGACTACTTCCATGGTACTCACCTCACCTTTTTTCTACCCCTGTGACTCTTTAACATCTTTGTCACACTCTTCTCTCCTAACCCCCTCTCGACTTTTTTCCAATCTGATGTACCATCCTCTCTGTGAAGCCTGAAGTCAACTAAAGGGCTAATGATAACCATCAAGACGCCTGCCATTTGAAAAATATATATAATAACTATACTTATAGACTCGAGGCAGGCAGGATTCAGACAAACTTTTGGAAGAAATAGCATTTTTAATTTTGGGGATCATTGTAAAGCAGCTTTGTTTGGTTTAATTATTAAGAGACCACAATATCTGAACTATTGCTAAAAAATTCTAATGACCAAAACTTGAATACCCCAGAAATCAAATAAAATACCATTTCAGTCGAACAACGCTGAAAATCCGAACTCGAGTGATACCTTCCGACAAAGATGTTTATTAGAATAAGTCACTGCAGTAAATTTTATTGAATGCGTTCAAAGAGGCTTCTCTTTCAATGCGTATTTCTCCGTAAACCTCTTAGCAAACAAGTAGTATTTTTGGTAATTCTCTTTACCCATTTTAACGATTGGCTCACGGCCCGGTTTGTCAAAATCGGGATATTCAAGAAGCTCTAGAATGGAAAACAAAACTAAGTTTTCAGATGAGAACAAGAAACACAAGTTCTTACGGTCAGTTATGGACGAAGCAGAAGTCCAGTCAGAAGGGTGGAGACATATTTTTCCATCAGTATGTACATTAGGATGAAATATCTTTGTCACAAATACTATCTACTTTGATGGGATTTTAGAAAGAAAGCTATCTTAATAATACCTCAGGAGCCAAAAATGGATAATCATTTGGGATTTTGATGTCGAGTAGAAAGTAACCATCAGAATATGGACTGTTAAGCTATCGAAGAATAGGCATCAAAGAAGCATAATGCTTCAACTTACCGGTCCTTTTATTGTAGCCCTCCAGTGAAATACTTAAACAAAATTAACGTTAAAAATTTTGTGAAATTAGCTTACGATCTCCCGAATCAACCAATTTAATTGTTATGTCAGTCAGTGGCTTTTTTTCAAAATCCAAAAGTTCCTAGATAGTTTTAAAGACAAAGTCCTGGTGCTTACTTTTTGAAGACGCCTCAGAGTAATTGTTGACATCTTTCAGGCTGAACGAGAAGTAAAAGCAGATCAACGAACGATAATCGCTTAAAATTCGAAAATTATAATCGCAATTTTCACTTACCGCGAGAAATTAAAACTTTCGATTAAGAAATAAAGATTAAATACAATTATATTGTCAATAATTTTACATTAATAATAGACAAAATATGTAAATTAAATATTTAAAAATTTAATTTATATAACGCTACAATTCCAAGAAAAATGCAACTGTTTATTTCTTTATTTATATCAAATGGCAAGCGTTTTGATAATTATCATTAGCCCTATAACTGACTTCGGGCTTCACAGAGGGGAGGTACATCAAAGTGAGAAAAATTCGAGAGAGGAGCAGAAGAGAGATTCTAAGATGCACCTTGAGTGCCTAGTGTGCACCACGTGGAGGTAAGCCAATCGCACACCCCAAAATGCGACTGTTGATTTTAAAGCAATGTCTCAATTCAACGAAATATAGAGACAATTCATATTTAAAAGGAGCGATGAGCCGTTCGAATGAGAGGCACTGAATGAAGAAAAGCTTGCTTCCCTTGAGCGTCTACAATGTCAGATTATTTATATTATTGCTATTAATATGAATTAACATGACATGATGTTATGAGTTTTGCCGCATGTGAGTAGTTTACGAACGACGAAATTCATTGTCGAGGTCACTTATTTTTATTAAATTATGCATCTAGTTATTCTTTTGAAACGCCAACATGGTAATTCAACGTATTGGGTTGGCAACTAAGTCATTGTCGTTTTTGTTGACAGATTCACTCTTTACTTTCTTTTGTTTTGTTAGCGTGGCCAGAGCATCTAACCTATATTTTTTTCTTACTGTATGGGCTTCTAAATTAATTAGTAAAAATTTTTTTTGTTTAGTTCTTTAGTTTTGTTTTTATCCCAATTTAAAAATGAAAGAACAGGACGTGCACTTCCGACACATTTTATTGCATTACTTCCGAAAAGGCAAGAACGCATCGCAAGCACAAAAGAAATTTTGTGCCCTATATGGAGATGAAGCCGTGAGGAAGAAAGGCAGTGTCGAAATTGGTTTGAAAGATTTCGTTCCGGTGATTTTTCACTGAAAAATTCACAACGATCTGGCCGCCCAGTCGAAGTGGATGAAACCCATATCAAGGCCATTATCGATTCAAATCGTCACAGCACAACACGAGATATTGCAGAGAAGCCCAATGTGTCGCATACATGCATTGAAAAAAAAATTAAAAACCCTTGGTTATGTCAAGAAACTTGATTTATGGATCCCTCACCAGTTAAAGGAAATTCATTTGACGCAAC